TGCTGACAATAAATATGAATATATGAATTAATGAATATATTTCTGATCGAATCAGTTCATTCAGAAAACTGCATCTGACGCAATGTTCGCCCGGCTCGACTCAGCTAAAATATTTCCTCATCTATTTGTATCTGCATGTTTTCTCGATTCTCGCTTCTTGCTTCTCGTCTCTCGCCTCTCACCTCTCACCAGCAAACGTCGGACCACAGAAATGCCCTAGCATTGAGATCATTTTGTTATCCAAATGCGCAAGTGCACTGACACTCAGCCAGAGACAATTGGCCCATATAATATATATAGTATATATGCAGTCTATATAGTCTGTATAGTATATATCGTAATATATACCGTATGCTTGGCCCAATTTGCACTTGGCTCGTTTCGGTCACATGATGTCATCGATTCGAGTAGCGCAAGTCTTGGCTGCTGTACGTTCAGCTCAGTTGATGGCCTTATTCTAATGCTCTTGTCAGCCAAGTCACAAAATACTTAAAATGTCATGTTGGAAAGCATTTTTAAGTAGCCATTATACAAGGCCTTACTACTTTGGTCCATGCCTATAGAATTTCAGTTTATTGTTACCATAAAAATGAAATTTTGTGACACGCTATAAAAATGATTTCGATTGTAGCTTGGCATACGTGAGATAGGTGTGCTCAGTCAACTTCCTGATTGACTGAAGTTACTAATTAGTGATATGTGTGATTACTATAAATAGTGTACTATAATATATATACTATATATAATATATATACTATATAAAGCCTGTGCATTTATACTGCTTTAGTTTAGATAAGGGACTCGAACTTTTTGTTGCTAAAGTCTATTAGCTGTTTGATCGAGTGACGCACATAAATTGTTTGTATGTTTATTTTAGCTAAAAACTACTTTATTTTTAGAGTAAAGCCTAAGTTCAGATAAATCTCTTTTCATCTCTCACTTGTACATAGAAATCCAATTCTCATCTTTTCACTTTGAATATACTTATGTCTTTATACTTAGCTTTTAAGTTTGGGCTTGGCATTTCAGCTGCGATTCTCTTCAGTGAGTCGTTTGATTATCTTCTACTATTAGATATAAGAAATATTTCAGTTGTGTTGCAAGTTCAGCAGGCATAGCTACAGCTTACCAATGAACATTGGCCAATGATTAGGGTTGCCCTGAGGTGTTGCTTGCTAGAGCAATTCACTCCGGCGATCTATCTATATTTATATATAAAAAATTGATGTATTTTAATTTAGTTTAGAGTATTTCGATCTTTGATCGAATATATATATAATTATATATAATTTATATATATCTGTATATTTATAGCTCTAGTTATATTGACCCTCTCACATCTCTAATTCTTGAGAATTCCTTACAGTAGTAAATGCTTTCATATTCCTCTATATCTACTCTGCTTTTAGTCATATTTCTTATATTATGAATACTTGTTTAAGTATTTTATATTCATATACTTATCTATCACTTTACAATGCGCCTAAAAGCATGCAACAACTAGATAAAATAGCTAATATATTATTTTATTATTTTTAATAGCAAAGATAAATTCGCAAATGATTCAAAGGCAAGGCAAAGACGTTGCTTTCTTGCAAATAATAATATTAATCTTTTGAGAGCGATTCCTTTCAGCTTTGTCGCTGATATAACGCTGTCAACTATCTTATGTCATATCCTCTGTCAAATTAGGCGCTGCGAAGTCATATTTTTCGGTGACAATTCAAAAGCGATCTGCGCCAGTCGAGCAGGTTAAATGTGTCTGCAAATTTACGCGCTAAAATATTTATGACAACAAAACACAGAATCCGTGTCACTCGCATGATTTGTTTACGCAGCTCACTTGGCTGCCACAATTTTTGCTCTGTTTGGGGGGTCTCTGCTCTTCAAACTGTTTGCTGTTTGTTCCTTTGTTTTTTTGTTTTTGTTTCTCGTACAGGCCTTCGGCATTGCGTAATCTGGATGTACGTAGCACAAATAATATATAGATATATATCTATATCTATGTCGGCGTACATATGGTTCTTGTTGCACTAAGAAAACATGCGAAATACGTTTGCCAAAAAGTCTTATTCAATAGTTTCGTCTTTGACATGAATTCATTTTTCTTGGCGTACTTAAAAATATTTTTCTCTACTCATTTAATATTTTTTGAAAAATAACCACAACTGCAGAAGCCAAAGGGGTAGATTGGGCTCTGCAAAAGACTTTGATTAGTGTAAGAAATCTGTTAGTCTTTAGGGTATTTAGTCGTCTGCTAATTGCTTATTCAGCTGTGGAGCTTAAACAAATTGAATTTCTTGTCTAAAAGGAAACACCTTTGTTGCCAGCATTTCCAATTTTTCATGAATACGTATATATATATATATATCTGTGCCCCTTAGTTGATTTTTATTGATGTGTATTGCGGTTCCAAAGCAAAAGCAAAAAATAATAATATAATTAATGATGTTTTGTGCCGCGTGCAAGAGATGACCGAATGCCATTTTAATGGCCGATCTAATTATAGATCGGCCATTTCGAATGGATTATCCCAATTTGCATTTATTTATAAACAAACTTCAACTTGAACTTTTGGCCCATGCAGAATCAGAGATTCGCGGCAAAAAGTTCAAGTTTTCCATAATCTTTTGCTCTGTTTGCTGCTCATAAATTTGAAACTTTTATGAAAATAAATGAAAAGCTGGAAAATTTATGAATTTATGACCCAATTAACGCTTCGAGTGTTGAACGTGAAACACGCCAAGTTTTTATCAAAGATTCGCGAATTGCATTTATTTATAGACAAGAGGAAGAAGCAGAAGCAGAAGCAGTAGCAGAAGAGCGCAGAAAATATAAATTGTAAAATAAAAAATAAAATAAATTAAAATAAAATCGAGCGAAGATTGCATTTCACTTTGCTCCATTGCTCTTGTCTGCTGCCGCCGCTGCATTAATAGCTGCAATTATTCATATATATATATATAAATATATATATATATATAAGACATATATTTATATATATACACTCATATGCTGCGTCTACATGGACTCAATTATAAATTCGTTATATGCATCAAGTATGCCATAAAAACTTATACTAAATATATTTTTATATATTTTTTTGTCTATAATAAAACTAACTTTTACTAGTTTGGTTAAATGTAAAAATAACATAATAAAATTTAGTTTTAACGCGTGATTAGCTCATATTTTCACCTAACATAAACATGACTAATTTATCACGTTTATGTTGGGATTACTTCAAGCGGCAGTGCTACAGCTCAAAAGCTGTTTATAATTTGCTTGGAAACTGCACTAAAATCAAATTCTATCTATACTTACAATTTCTAATGTATGCTGATGTTTAAGATAACAGAAAATCATTTGATTTACATTTCCATTACATTCAGTAAAAGCAAAAACACAAGCTTGATCCGTTTATAAGTTCTAAAATTTAGCCACATTTATTTGTTTATATTATATATTGCGTTGAGTTCATAGCTTCATATTCAGCATGATTTAACATGAATTACTATATACTATAAAATAATATATATACAATATATAAAATAATATATATACAATATATATTCTTCATCTTGCTCTTCCAAAGATTTTTATTTTTGTATCGAAAAAGCCCTGCAAGAGGTATTCTGTTTCTCAGCTTTAGAAACTATGTATATGCTTTCTAATTATTGCCAATTTCTAATTAAATTATGGCCACAAACATTTAATTAAATCATTCAACTTGACTATGTGGGCTTTGAACCTCGGACTGCCTGCTAGATGTGCCTACGTTAGAGACGTGGCTAAACGCGCGATGTTTTTTGTTCTCTCTACAGTTCAATGCGATTTCAACGTAATAATTGTGATGTAAATGTAAATGTTGCCATTGTTGTTGCTGTTGCTGTTAGCCTTGTCTGACTTGTCTGCAAATTGGCTGCTTTTAAAATGTCATCGCTACATTGAAGCAAACGAAAAAATATATCTAATAGAGATTTCGACTTGATGGGCAAAGCTATTTACCTTGGCCACTTGCCCTTTGCTTGTCACCGACAGAAACGTTGCGAACAACTAAATATTAAGCGAAATACATATCCAACATGAATTCAAGGAGGGAAATTCGAATTCGTTTTTCCAGTTGGAAATTCTTTTTGCTGCAGCTGTTTGCAATTTTGCATTACAATTTCCAATGGCATTTTAATATGCGCGCTGTCTGTGCCAAAATGCTGTAACAAATACGGGAAGGGAAAAGGGGAGGGGGCGGTATCAAACTGATATTAATCATATAGTATACGGCCCACGCGATATTTACTGATCAATTAAAAAATCTATATGGCTGGATGTTGCATGTGTGGAGGCAAAAGCTGCTGCAGACAGAGTCAGACTGATTCAAAGAATTTATGCTTCAAAAGTGTGGGAGAGTGAGAGAGGGAGAGACAGAGAGAAAGAGAGTGCGTGTAGGTGTGTTGCCGTGCGTGTGTGTGTGTGACTTGTGTGTCGTGTGCACAAGCGCCAACAACAAAGGAAAACTGAATTTTCCGAAAATGCTAAAAACGAATCTTTCTCTTTTCTTGCGCGCGTGTGTGTAAAATGACGTCTATAGCAGCTGCTGCAGGTGTGTGCCACACACACCTACCTACACCTGGCTAACATTTATTGATATATTTATAGATGCGTGTTTGATTTATAACAAACAAAATTGCAAACTGGACTTGATTCCATAAAGCTGCTAATGATCAAATATTGTCTAAGGCAACAAGCAAAAGAGCATAGCTGTTCGCGCTCTCTCTCTCGCTTGCTTACTCTACCTCTGCCGCTCTCTCCCTCTCTGCTGTGCTTGCCTCTCTCTCTTACGCTCAGCGGGCAGCTGCTGCGCTCTGCGGCACTCCCCGAGATTTTATTTATACACTTGCCTCTGGGGGCGAAACTAGATACACGCGAGACTTTTCCTTCTTATTAGACTGTTTCGGTTTCTGTTTTAGTTTTTTTGAAAAGATTTCGAATATTTTGTGAAAGAAACGCGTCAGTTGGCATCACGACTCGGCAAAGTTCAAAACGTTTCGCGAACACTTTTCGGCTAGCATCAAGTTTTAGTCTTTTTTTCTGCATTTGTATAGGGAAAGTTCAGTCGGTCATTAGAGTGCAAATTGGGTTTTTATTGGGGAATTTTCGAGTTAAGATTGGCAGATTTTTGAATTTTGAGTTTTGAGTGCGGCACAAAATGGCGGATGTGGAAATTATGCAAACGATGACGGAAGTCAAGAAAACGAAGAAGGTCAAGAAGTCGTCAAAACGTCGCGAATCCGAAGTGCAAATCAGCGAGGTGGATGCCACCAACGAGGAAAGGGGGTAGGTGGAACGTGTTACGTGTGGTTCAGTACAGAAAGCAGATGAAAATTTCTAAACCAAAAAAAGAGTATAGAGAAAACTGCCAAATATCCAGCAGTATATTTGGTATTTTTCGATATTTTTCTGGTATTTTTCTGGTATTTTGGATGGGTGTTTCTTTTATTGTCTCGTCTTTGTTTCGTATACCCGTATATCATTCGATCTATTCGAAATTCGTTCAAAAATATATATATATTTCTCATGCACATTCGCTCACAAATATATATACCAAATATATATATCTGAAACGATCACAAATAAAACTATCCAAAGTACTCGCATAATATTAATCGAACGACACGTTTACTACCTTCTTTCCTCGGCAAAACTGTTTACTAAAAGGTACCCAACATAAAGCTGTCGTTGTCTATAAATGTCTATAAATGTCTACACACACCAAAAACCAACAAGAAAACAACAACAACAACAACATACACTGAACAACACACCAAGAAAACAAAACAAATAAACTGAGAAACTGAATAACAAGTGAATACATACATTATATCGAGTATGGCCACATATACATACTATAGCTACCCAGTGAATATACATGATATATACAACAAGCACATTTTACACTGACCCACACGCAATTTGAATACTCCTATATGGACTCTATCCGTTAATACTTATTCTATATGTTTAACTTTGATCGAGATCTTTTTGGTTTGGCTACATCGTCGTGTGTCCTTTTTGCAGTTAATTTCAGTGGCGAATACACAAAGGCCATGGACAAGGACTGGCACTCGGGTCACTTCTGCTGCTGGCAGTGCGATGAGAGCCTAACTGGACAGCGTTACGTCATCCGGGACGATCATCCCTATTGCATCAAGTGCTACGAGAACGTCTTCGCCAACACGTGCGAGGAGTGCAACAAGATAATTGGCATCGATTCGAAGGTGAGCTTAGCAGCTGGAACTATATTAAATAAGAGATGGAAATTTAACGGAAAATATATCATATAAAAGCTTAAAAATTTAATCATAAAATTAAACAATTAAGAGAATGAATAATAATAATAATAATAATAATTATAATAATAATAATAATAATAATAATAATAATAATAATAATAATAATAATAATAATAATAATAATAATTATCATAAAACAGATCAAAGAAAAATATTGAAAAAAATAATGGATTAAAAACAGATGCAAAAATAGGTCGAAGCGTTGCTCAAATAATAGATTGAATATTATTTTGAAAAATAGATTCAGTAATAGATGAAATAATTAATCGAAAATACATGCAAAATAGATCGAATAATAGATCATAAAATAATATAGATATAAAAAAAATAGATCATAAATATTAGACTAAAAAATTGATTGCAACATACATGAACAAATAAATATATGAATTAATAGTGTCTAGAATTCCAGAAAACAAAGATAAAGCTTGATAAAGAAATTATAGAAAATGCAAATTAAAACCAAATGAAATTTCCTTTCAATAAATAGATTCTGAAATGGATTTCATTTAAATTAGTTAATACTCATATTGAGATCATCTTTTATATTTACATGCAAATTAGAAACAGAAATAGAATAGATCATCTCAAGTGCAAAGCATTATTTTTTAATATTTCAAAAAAATGTTGAAACCAGATCAACTCATTGTAGAACAAATGGATCTTCCAGAAATTAATTTTAAAATTTATTTAGATATTTGTTTTAGATTTATGTAACATCTATAAAACATATAATTTTGATAGTTATTCAATTGTTGATAGATAGATATACATAGAGAACATTAGTAGGAATCAAATAATAACAAGTTAGTTCAGAGACAGGCACTGCAGAGTATCTAAAATTAGACATATTATTTTGACTAAAATTAAAGATAATTTATTAACAGCTTCAAATATTAAGCTCTGAGTAAATTACAAAGTTAATGTTTTATATATTATAGGTTTCCCATTTTATAGGTTTTCTATTTTGCTAAGATAGCAAAAGACTTTATTTTGAATGTAGTTAAAATGATCTTCATTTTATTTTTATTTCTAAATTCTTCATTAAATCTAAGCTTCTTTCCTTTCATTTCACCATAGGATTTATCGTACAAAGACAAGCACTGGCACGAGGCCTGTTTCCTCTGCTTCAAATGCAATTTGAATCTGGTCGACAAGCAGTTTGGAGCGAAGGCCGATAAGATCTATTGTGGCAACTGCTACGATGCGCAGTTCGCGTCCCGTTGCGACGGCTGCGGCGAGGTATTCCGTGCAGGTGAGTTCAACAACTACAACAGCTGTGCCACCAATTGTGGCATACTTTGTGGCGGCCACTGTAAATAGTATCCATATATTTATATATATAGAGATATATAGCCTAAGTTGAAAATAATGAGCGGCTGCAACCCGTTTTGGTGGGAGACTCGGGAGAGAAATGACATTTTTGTGTGCCAAATTAATTGCATTTGCAGGGCAATTTGTTGCCAACGGGTGACATATTCCATAAATCGCCAATGCGCGCGGCCATTTGAACGTATATAACAGACGCGCATATTGCATGCCCTGCAGTGGAGTTGCTGTGTGGGGTATGCTGTGCTAGCAACAGCAGTTGAATGCTGTAAGCAGCTGAGCTAAGAGAGAGCTTTAGAAAAGCTTTCGTATTGTAAAAGCTCATTTAAGCCTTGAGCGACCATTGAGAGACTCTTGTGCTCATCTGCAAAGCTTAGAATACTTAATAGATAATAAATATGGGAAGAGTGCTGAAAGCTTTTTGAAGTCTATATGAAATATGACTATGATAATGTTAAGAGACATGGAAATATCTGAGTGGAAGTTAGAAATTTATGAATAACGAATCGTATCTCATGAAATTAAAACTTGAGCAGCCTTAAGAAACGTGTAAATATTAATCAGAGCAAAGATAGGAGTCACTTAATGCTCAGTGAAAGCTTTGTAAAGCTCTTTAAATGCTCCCTTAAGTCTACTGTTATGTCATCATAAAGCTCATTTATTATTCTCTCATTTATCATTCTCTACAAGACTATTGTTAAGTTCATATAAGGCTTGCCAAAGCTGCTGAAGGTCAGGCTTACCTTAGCTCTCAAGCTCTGAGTTACTAATGCTCATGACAGGGTATAGCTAGCTAACGATAATACGATACTCAACTAAAACTTCAGTGCTGGAAGTAATTTATGTCTGTTAATATTTGATGAAAGCGCGTCTCGAATAGTAATTGACTTATGTTAATATTTGTGCTGCCTACAGGGTATATTTGTAGTCGTGTTATCTTCACTTGAACGCTCCACTAATGAACCTGCTACAGTTGAGTGCGTGCAGCGTTCGCTGCCAGCGGCCCCGTTGTCGTAAATGTCCGATATCTGTTTTCATTATACGTTGACTTAACTGCAATTTGTGTCCAAGTTTTCGTGCGCGAGATGCTCGAGACATAAGTCGAGTCGAGGCGACTTGAGTCGACTGCAAGTTCATTGCCAGCTGCCCACGCTCCACGACGGAGCTCCACAATCCAAAAGCAGCTGTGCGGCAGGCCCTGAACCCGAACTCGCACAGGTGCATGACATTGTTTTCATTATTATTTGGCAGGCGGAGGGAGAAGGCTAACAGAAAGGTGTTAAATGTGACAAGCGCTCCAGTTGTTTGTGCCCCACTCAAAGTCAAAACAAATACGTTTCAGCTAAGAAAAGGTCTTATTCATATATAACATGTATGGCTGCTGATAAACCTCAATCGAGAAGCAACTGGGAACGTTTCTCATATCAATCAGGTGCTAAGCCAATTGAAGCTGTTACCAAAAATGGCATTTCACTTGAAAGTACATTGTTGACATTGCCAATTACGAGAGCTGGCTGATAAATATCTAGTGAGATCAATGTCAGCAAAGCGGCCCACACGCTCGACTGCCGCTGCCACTGTCAATTGCAATGACATTTAAATACCTCTAGCTGTATACAAATATTTACATCTTTATTCATTTGATTCTCTGCCTTCTGTTTGCCAAAGGTGTCGCGTTTGCTTTGCCTATTCAGGCATTAACTAATTGTCTAATCAAATATATATTAGATATTTGCTCATTTGCCAATTTTAGTTGTGGACATAGCATAACATTAACCCTTTCTTATGCACTGCTACCTGTTGGAAAGGGGTATATTTGCTTTGTTGAAATTAACTGAAGCAAGCAAGAGTGGCAGATGTCTATAGGGAAATTATATACTTTTGATATGGATCAACAAACGTATGGATCTAGACTTTGATGTTTGTATCTCCATCTATTGGTTTGCCCTCTTCTCTCTCTGTCTGCCCGTCGCTTTGTCCGTAAAATTGATCATCTTGGTAATTATAGTTGCTTAGAATACATTGTTCTTCCCTTTTTCCTTCTTCTAGTACTTTTTATAGCTAGTTATTCCATTAATCTGTAGTTCCTCTAGGAAATTTTTGATATTCTTACTATTTTAATGAACTCCGCTATTTGACCATTTCCTATAGAATTAGTCATCAAATACATTATTCATTATTCATTGTTCAGGGTATCTCCGAGTCGTGCACTCCCCACCAGTGCACTCTCAGTTGATAATTGTCAAGTCTGTCTGTCACAAATTGTTTAGATTGCAACGCCCACTCAACATATTCGTATGGTATTGATCGAACAAGACTTTATTGATGTATATATGCATATATATACATCTGATAAATATATATAAATAATCACCATCGGCCATGTCATCTATGTTAATTCGTGGCAAATTGTGTAGCATATGTTTAATGCGTTGTGTCTGACTCATCAGATATTTGTGTTTATATTTTCTTATAGAATTCATATTTAAATTTTCATCTGTTTTTTTTTGGTAATGAAACTTGTTTTTATTATTATTTTTTTCTGTATGCTTTTGTTGTTGTCTGCGCATGATTTGTGGCTTTTAAATAGCTTTTGCCTCAGCGTGTTGAGGAATTATTATTGAAGATCGTTGATAAGCGTGTGGAATTAAATTAATGTGTTTTATATAGCTATTGTATTTTATTCGAAAATAAAAAAATATAATAAAAACTGTGGCTAGAAGTACTTAGCGCAACTGACAGAAATTTGCTAAATTAAGCCAATTGTGGATTATAAAATATAATGAAAACTTGTTGAGCAGACTTGATTTTAGCAAGCAGAAATCTTTTAAACTAAATATGATATAAGACTTGGGTCTTTCCGTGTCAAGTGTAATTACCTAGTGTCAACTGATTGACTGACAAAGGCACTGTTTATATATACACTTGAGCTGTATATCACATAAGATAATTTGTATATCTAGTCTGCCAGCCTGGGCTGCCTTGCTTTTCTAACTAGTCACTTGAAAAGAGTACAGGGCATAACATATAGCAACATATCGACTCACGAGCAGTATTTACCTAGTAAACTCCACACATCTGCTCTCAGCCTAAACCATTTGAGAATTACAATCATTAGAGTTGACTTTGAGTGACTTTTCTACAGTGATGTCAGCTCTTTCCTCACCTCGCTCTCTCTTCGCTCTTGCAGCCGCACTTGAAGCAGCACTCCAGCTGCTGCCTCTGCTGCACTTGCAGTCATTTACCGTTTGATTGCCTAATTGCTTAATTGATTGGCAGATAAGAAGAATGTGTGTAGTAGAGTCAATTTAACTGCAGCTAAATTGATTTCTATGTAGTAGATCGCATGCTGGTAGCTGATCAGAAACCCACGCATATTGCCACAACATTTCCGTCCAAGCAAAGCAATTAATCAGAGGGGGAAAAACAAACATGAGAAACAAATAATAAATGTCAGCCGTATAAGGAGAAAGGCCTTTAGGGCTCTGTGTGGCTGTCTAACTATAAATGGGAGCATGTTATGCACGCAATTTCCCACTTGGGCGGCATTTGAGAGTGGCAAAGCAGTTGACAATTTCCATATCGCATTACCTGACTGATGCCAGCTTCCCACATGCAGACAACATTGGCTGGCTTCCTCGATCGTGTGGCTAACCTCGATCGCAGAGGCGTGGCGGCATTGTCAGGGGCATTGGCAAGGCACTTGACGAGCATCTGCATAACATTTAAGCTGGTCAGTCGAGACGAGTCGCGTCGAGTGGAGTCGAATCGAGTCGAGTCAGTCAATCAGACTGTCAATCTGCTGCAACCAGTTTCCGCCTGTCAAAATAATTCATAAGTGAGCCTAAATGGCACGTTGCAGTCAGCTGCAGCCTTGTTTTCGTTCGATCTGAATGCAACTCGAACCTAAGCCGAACGCAACTCGAACAGACGCAAACTCACCACAACTCAACGCGAACTCACCACGGCTGGCTGTTTGTTTACGTTGTGGGTTTTTGTTTATGGCGCTCGTGCTCAGTCTCAAAACGGCTTTCAGAACGCCTTGGCCAGTGCCGCGGACGTAACCGAGTGTAAATTGTATTTGAATTGAGGCAACGTGTTGCATGTCCACTATCAATCGACATAAGCAGAGCGGCTATTAAAATTATTTACAACGTGAATTGCAACAACAGAACATCAAACAAAACTAGAAAAAAAGTATTTTTGCACCTTCCTTAATTGTTTAAGGAAATGTTCTTGTAAACATTTCGACTGCAGCTGCCAGCAGAGTCGTAAACTTGCAACTGATATTGAACACGCCGTGGCACGCTGCGTATGCGCAATATTTCCACAACCCACACGCACAGTTGAGACGAGGTTTGACAGGCATTGCATAATATTGTAATATCGCTAGGTGTCGCCAGTCAATTTTCAATATGAAATAAATATGAAACCAGCCAGACTTAGCGGGAATCCAATTGGATTCCACTTAGAAATTGCATACCAAAACCGGAAACGAATTTGAGCTGCTTTTTGGGCTGCATTTAAAAATGCGGCGATAGCATCGACGTGTGCCACATTTAAAGAGCTAAATGGAAAACATGAAAAGCAGCAACACACACACCAGTGCACACACACAGACAGGCACAACAGCAACGGCAACAATCAGCATGAATATGCACGCAAAGAGTCAGGTCGAAGCCCACTTGAGCTGGCATTTCTTTTTTATTTATTGTTGGCACTGCAATTGAATGCCAATTGAAATGAAATCGAAATCAAAATCAAAATCAAAATGAAATCGCATTGAAATTATGAACGAAGCCTGAACTTAATTAATTGAAGAGCAGCCAGCTTGTAGTTGCTGTAAATAAAAGCATTTCAAGCTAGGTAGCTGACCCAATAAGACGTTCGCTCTCAGAGCCCTTGATCAAGTGTTTACATCATTCAAACCGATATGTATATATATATATATATATATATGCATGGCATACGTAAGAGGTGCTTAAGCAAATGAATTGAATGTCATTTGTCTGTTGGGCTTATCAGAGAAGCCGCCGCAACAACAACAATAAATTTCAATTTCGATTTCAATTTAAATTTCTCTTTTTAGCTTTTTGGCTGACAAAAACTAATAAATCTCGTAGTTTTTTCCCTCTTTTGCCCTGCAGCCGTTGACATCTGTGCAGGCGGGTCAAATGGCCAAACAAAGAGACATCTTTGACAGTCTCAAGCGAGATCAGATCGTGATATTGTCATGTTTAGCCGGCTTAAAGACGTTGCCAAAGGTCAGCGGGAAGTGTTTGCTTTATGGCATAAAGCTCAGGTCTAGCCTAGCTCGAATTGAGCTACTTGGCTTCGATTGAGTTTTATTTGCCGTTTGGTATTGATGTTTAGGGAGAGTTGCCAGACTGTTAATGGAAAATCAACTGATCACTTGATTACTACTCAGCTCTGCTTGCGTTACTTAAATTTAAATTCATTTAAAGATCAATGCATTTTCTTATTACTTTTTAATTTACTATATTTGACGAGAGTTGCCAGACTCTTACTGAGTTGTTCGTCTGGCAACATTGCATCTGGCTTACCTCTTCTTAGCCTAATTTTAGTTTGAGCTGCCATTTAATGAATATCAATTTAAATTTCCTCATCATTTAGACTTGAGTAAATTGAATTTGTGTCAGAGTTGCCAGATTGCTATGTGAAATTTATAGGAATTGCTGTACATATGACTTACTGTTTCTCAATTTTAAGTCAAGCAGTAAAGCTATCTCTTATGAAGGTCCTTTTTGCACATCTGTCATCTTTTGAAGCTGAGTAGAGTTGCCAGACTTCTAATTCAGAGCTGGCCACTCTAGTTAAGAATGAGCTTTTGATTCGTTAAAGCCATTAGGTAACAATATTATTATGCTCAATCTATTTCTTATAATTTTTCCTCTAAGCTGGCTAATTCTGTTCAAATAGAGTTGCCAGACTTGAGTTAAAACGCTTTATTTCTCACTTGAAATATAGATTTTTTGATGAATTGACACTTAGTCATAAAACACTTAAGCTGATACTTATTGCTCTACCATTTCGCCACTTTTATTCTAACAGCGTTGCCAGACGTCAGTTTAAGAACTTGAAATTTGCAGTTTCTTTATAGTTTTCAATTAGCCAATGACAGTTAGTAGTAAATTACTTATGTTTGTCATTTTGAATGGCTGCTCTCTCGCTTGACTGCGAATTAGCCAAGAATAATTGAGCAGAGTTGCCAGATCAGCTCATGGCAGTGGCTTGTTCTTTGACACTTATTGCTATAAAGCATTGATTGAGTGTTAACTGCAAGCAAATTGCGAATAAAATCGGAGTAAACGTAATTTGAATGCTCGACCGCCCGCAATGTCAGCTGCACGGCAAAAGCAGAAAAAACCAAATTTTAGCTGAGCTCTGTGAAAAAGTTGTTGCTTATAAATGCAGAACGCGTTTGCGTGCGACACTTTCCATTTCGGTTTGGCCACGTAATCGCCAAGCGTCGTCTCAAGCCGGCAATCAATCAATCAGTCAATCGTTCGCAGCAGCAGCAGCAGCTCCGTCTGTCTAGGCTAAAGCTGAAGCATTTCAATGTCGCCTCCTCCGATCCGCACTTGACCTCAGCGCGGCTATTGGCGGCGTCTCTACATGTTTCAGTGTTGTTGTGGGCGTTCTGTGGCAAGTCGTGGGCGAAATCTTTGGCGACTCGACTTCAATTAGTTATAATTATTTGTGTGTTTGCTGAGGAAACCCAACGAATGCTCGCGCTGTGGTTTAGTAATCCAAGCAATGCCACCTAAATTATTAGCCAGATCTTAATTACCTGCCCATATATATATATATATATATATATATATATATATATATATATATATATATATATATATATAGATGGATCTATATACTTATATATATTCACTGAGTGGATTTCCTGTAGGCCAAAAACTTCTCTATTTTTTGTCAATTTCCTGCCTCAAGCAATTTATTTGTTATTGTTTTTTGTTTTTACTTTTGTAAAAAGTTAATTATTTAATGATTTATGAAAGGCAGCGTCGTCGTTGCTGCTGCCCGGTTTGTTATTTATAAACATTCTCTAAGTTTTAATGAAACTTGTTGCTCGGTCAGGCAAATTTTTGAATGTGATGTCATTGCCTTGAAGCTGGAGACTCGACGTCGCCAAATTTGCGCGCTGACAGCCGTTGGCTGAAATTTATAGAGTATTGTTAGGGTATCTGTTTAAGCGGCGATCAGCTGACCCAGTTAACGAGCAGTTGATGGCATCTCTCAGCTGGCTTAGACTCGTTGACTCTGTGTTTAAGCCAAGTCGTGACTTATTAGGCCAGTTGCAAGTTTCTGACTCTGGTTGGCTCTGCATTTAAGTAGCTCACTCACACTCGCACTTACGCTCAGTTGGTATAGCTGTCAATCATGACTGACGTTGATGTATTGAGCTCGCGCATGAAGTCGCGTTTGCATTTGCAAACCAAAACAATTGGCGCCGATCGCATTAAGAAGGCCAAGGACAACAACGAGGACATTGCCGTCTTGAGCATGTTCCTGCCCAATGCCAGCGCCGTCGAGGAGAACCGCAGCTTCTACTGCTCCCTGGGTGACTACTGCCGCCTGGGCGATCCCCGTGCCACCAAAGCAGGTAATGATGGACCCAAATGGGCAGCGCCAGCTGCTCATAAACTAACTATGTTAATTAAATCCCCGCGATACATCATAATTTATCAATATTACTGGCCATTAACTAGCCCGAGTGCTGGCCAAATTGGTAAAAGTCACAAAACAGACAGCGAATAGATTCGACGCCCCCATGGATTAGCTGGAGGTGTTGTGGCCCAGCTCTCTATAACGTCATCGCAGCTTTCGAGCTGCGATCTGCGGTCCGCTTGAGTCTGCGATGAGTAAGTGGCAGCCAAAAAAATACACTGAAAGAAAGCGGCTGTCATACAAATGATGCGATTAGACGGGCGTTGATCGCGTTTTATGAATTATTCTAATTGGAAAATTGCTAAATTTGTCTCACATGATGTTGAATGGGTTAATGATAATCTGCTACAATTATGTTTAAATAACCAATTGACTTTTGGGTGTTTAAGTAAGGTTTATGTTTTTTATATATATATTTAGATGGTCTTTTTAGGAAATATATTTTTTTTCGATTCGAACATTTCTCTCAACGCAGTGTTCCAATTAGTAGACTATTGATCAATCTAAACCGAATTCCAACTTAATTTAGCGGAAGAGCAAAAGCATTTAGAAATGTTAACTAAATTCCCATTTAAGGGAAACCCGTGTAACATAGCATAACATCGCTGATGCGCAGCTAATGCAATTCAATTAATTAGGGAAATGTTAAAAAAAATTCCCTTAATTTTTTATGTAAGCTTTATGTAAGCTGTTAGGTCATTATGTTAAGGAGCTGCTCATTAAATTTCCTATTAAAGGAAATTCTATATTTTAACAGATAAGTTATTAATTTAAGGGAAATTCGAAGGCGAATTTCTTGCCAAGAAAATTCCATACGTAAGCTCGAATAACTACCAAGCTAACTTTCTTTACTTTATCACATATGATGTCTTCAGACACTTAACTTTTATGTCATAAATTTGTCATGCAATTTGGCCAACTTTTGTGCTGCCATAATTTGCCAACATATGAAATGGCTTTTCTCCATATAGCCCAAAATTAAAGCAGAACAATAGAATTGCTGCCCTGACATTATTCGAGTCAATTAGGCTGCGCTGTCGCAGTCAGTGAACCCAGATTTTGGTAAAACTTTTCGGCTCAGTCTTTATATTTGGCAACAAATTTCGAGCACGCAATAAATAAACGAAACAGATTTTTATGCACACCATCAGGGCTGAAAGCCACTATATAAAGACTAGATATATATTTATATGTCTCGTGAGGTTCATATTTCGCTCTTGTCTCTTGAAACTCGCAAAATTTGAATAATTTTTGCATTAATTGTTATGAAAAAGTGAGGGGGTTAGGGCAGGGGTAGGGGTAGGTGTAGGGGTAGGGGCTTAGGGGTTGCCTCTTCGACAGTTGCATGTCAGCTGCTCATAACGCTAGTTCCCATTTATATATTTATTATTTTCTACAGTTATTATTGAAACCAAATTCTGATTGGGTTTTCTGGTTTGATGGCTTCGGCCTGAATGTGTCTGGTTGGAATTTGGGTCTATTTACCGATAAGCCGAAAAGTTCAAGGTTGCAATGAGTGAAAATTGATTTGGTCTGTTGCAGGCACCAAGAAAATGGAATACAAAACCCGGCAGTGGCACGAGAACTGCTTCTGCTGCTGCGTCTGCAAGATGGCCATTGGCACGAAGTCGTTCATACCGCGTGAGCAGGAGATCTACTGCGCCGGCTGCTACGAGGAGAAGTTTGCCACGCGCTGCATCAAGTGCAACAATGTGAGCCAGCGACGAGTGCACTGAGCCTAGTTGAACAGCTACTAATTGATCTTCTCTTGATTGGCTTGATAGGTCATCACCTCTGGGGGCGTGACCTATAAGAATGAACCGTGGCATCGCGAGTGCTTCACGTGCACCCACTGCAACATCACGTTGGCCGGGCAGCGGTTCACTAGCCGCGACGAGAAGCCCTACTGTGCCGAGTGCTTTGGCGAGCTGTTCGCTAAACGTTGCACCTCGTGTGTGAAGCCCATTACAGGTGAGTCGAAGAAACTGAGCAGCTCTATAGACTAGTTGGCTAACTCTCCCTCTCTCTCTCTCTCTTTTTGCACAGGCATTGGCGGCACTCGCTTCATTTCGTTCGAGGATCGGCACTGGCATCACGATTGCTTTGTCTGTGCCAGCTGCAAGGCCAGCTTGGTGGGACGCGGCTTCATCACCGACGGCCCCGACATCCTGTGCCCCGACTGTGCCAAGCAGAAGCTGATGTAAAGCGCGAACGCCCCCCGCCCCTCCCACTCCAATCAAATCAAATCAAAATGGATCAAAAACTGGGGCCAAGTGCCAGCGATAATTAGCCATAAAAAATCGAGAAAAAAATGGATCAAAAATCAGAATATGTATTAAACGATATATATATCTATATATATATATATATATGCAAACAAAATAATGCCTTACACATATATTAGATATCGAGAATTAGCTAAAACAAAAAAACAAACAGCAAAGGAAATCCTAAAACAAAGCAAAACTTTTTATGTAAAATTTGAGAAACGCTCGAAACGTTATGGAGCGATAGCAGCAACACTTGATATTTGATATTATTTTTGTGCTTTATTTGTCGAATTGTATAAAATTATAAAATATATAATTATTTATTATTTGTAATTGCATTTGAGCGCGCGATAAACCGAAAAACGGAGCAGGAGAAAACTAAAACAAAAGCAAACAATGGAAAAACTTGTAACTATTGTATGTAAATGTTTATTTATTTATTTTAAGTTCTTTTAACACACACAAACACACACACAGAGACAGAGATGGAAGGAGAGTAAGAGAAAGTGGAAGAGTGAGCCAGAGAGAGAGAGAGAAATGCGTGCAAAAGTTTCCTAACAGCGGGTTATTTTCTTCAGTTAAATATTTAACTTTTTCGAACAACTTTTATCTATGTTATTAAACAAAAACCATATTTAAACACACAATAGCAATTGAATTGTTTAGTTTTATTATTTTATTTTTGTGATGTTTGTATTTTATTGGAGCACAAAGCGCAAACTAAATAAATTCCCACACACACACATAATTATTTTACAAATGCCAACAAAATGTCAATGTCCTTAACTATTTAAAGCTAAATAAATTAATAATATTATATGTGGTGTTTTCTTAATTCATTTTTATAATGGTTTTATGTTGCAGTTACTCTAAATTAAGTTAGAATTTTAAATGATATACATTTTGTCAGCCGTTAATAAGAAATCTGCCAAATGATTGGAATTTCAATTCAAATTCAAAAATGAAAAGCCGTTGAAGCTCTTACGTTACGTATGTCATCGGCGCAATAAAGAGCAACGCAAACGCACGCTGAGCAAAACAGCGTAAAAATGAGTTCACAAAACTGTTAACGAAATGTTATAAATTCAACATTCACTGTGAATGACAAATAAGCAAAACAATAACAGCTTGATGATGAGCAACCAAAACAAGCCGGATTTAAAAATTATTCTAGAATTCAGGTAACATTAAATGCTATAAATATTTAGCAATATTCAAGCAAACTGTGCTTTTAGTGCTGGCGCGGAGCTGCTGTTCGGCAATATCAAACGACGTGAAATCTCCTTGGATGGCACGCAAAAATGTGAGCACTATAAGTTCTCGTCTCCAATTTATTGCAGCTGTTTAATGGTTTATTGCAGGGACAATTGCGAATTTGCTAAAGTGGATGCACGTAAACATTCTTACCGAACGGCCGGAACTATTCATACAAGGAGACACAGTGTAAGAAGGAGAGACAGCGTAACACGTGCGGCTCATATAATGATTCTTCTGTTTCAGACGGCCTGGAATATTGGTGCTGATCAACGATACGGACTGGGAGCTTCTGGTAAGTAATGTTGGGCTTCAGATTTATATACATTTTATCTATTGTGCTTAACTAGGGTGAGCTGGAGTACGAGCTGCAGCCGAACGATAATGTGTTATTCATCTCAACACTGCACGGCGGATAATAGTGGCAGCTGCTCAATAACAGCGACTGCTATGTTAACTAGTATAAGTAAAAAGTTTTGTATTTAAAAAAATAAAAATAAAATCAAATTTTATACAGATCAGAATTACGTCCCTCTACCATAAATGGCAAAGGCCCACACGATGGTTCGGGCAGTAAAGATTTTCTTCATATTGAAGTAAGGTATGGGAATTCTGCTGGTATATAAAGCAGTGATGTTCAGAATAAGCAGTTGAGAATTACAAGCGCAACATGCTGAGTAGAAGTTCTAATTGAGCGCATTCTTATAAGATTAACGATCTCCTGCTGACAGCTTAACGACGACGCCTCTTTTTGTATATTTCGAAGCAACATTTATTCAATTCTCTGCTTATGTGTATACATTATTCAAATATTAAAAGATATGCAATTATTTATGTATATTTTGTTTTCTTTTACGATAATTTAAAGATAGGCACTTAATTTACATATATTAACTAACTGTACGTTATGAATTTCGATTTCGATAAATGTTTCGTTTTTATATTTTCTATTTTCCTTTTCGGCTGGCACTTTGTCTGTGCCATTCGATTTGTGTGTGTGTGTGTGTGTTTCGTGTGTGGGTTGAAGGCGTAGATTAAGGTTGATTAAGAGCTATGAAATATATTTTGACATTGACACATTGAATTCAATAATTTCAAATTTTCTATATGAAGAAAAAAACAAAGAGAAAAACTGCATCCAGGGCAAATAATAATACAATAGGATGAAAATTGATGACAAAAAGTTAACGCAACTAAAATCAAATAAATAATAAATAACAAAAATTATAATAAGTATGCATGCATATATATGTATATGTATATGATAATTTGAATCTGATGAAACCGTTTCGCTAAAGCTATGTATACTCTCTTCTAGTCCTCCTCCTCCTCCTCCTCCTCTTGCTCCTCGTCCGCATTTCCCTTTCCTCTCTCTCGCTGGTATTCGAGATTGCTTCACTTATTGCTCTCGGGTGGACTCGCTGCCTCAGCTGCGTGGGCGTACGATTTGTAGCGACGCAGTATAACGGTCGAGCTGCTCGTGTTCGTGCTCGTGCTGGTGCTGGCCAGGGTCGTGGACCAGCTGCCTCTGTTGCCAGACAGCTGCTCGGCGGCTAAGTGGGCATGCTCCTGATCCGGCGTTATGGACATATCGGACAGTATGCCGCTCTCTAGATATAGAGTATAGGAAGAGTGTGGGTTATGCAGGTATATCATTTGAAAACTCTCTCCAGCAATAGACATAGAGCATGCAGCACAACAACTAGTTAGGTGGGCGGAAGGTGTTTGAGGTGGGGTCTATATACATATATACAGCAGAGTAATACTGGGGATTGGTGTGTGTGTGTGTGTTTTATATACATGGGATTTGGAAACATTAAACAAACATAAACAACAACTAAAAGGAACCCTTGGCAGCTAGAAGAAGTAGCACAATTCAAGCTCTATACCCATGGACAGCTGGCTGACAATTGTCGTCGAACGCTTGTGTTGTCGCTTGTTGCTTCGGTTGGAGCCGCTGCTCGTGAGCGTGGGCGTGGCCTGCCCTCTGGCAGCTGCCGAGTTCTCCTGCTGCTCGCTGCTGCTGTTCAGCTTCAGCGCCTGCGTCTCATTGATCAGCTCCAAGGTAGCCGGGCTGCTGCTGTTGTTGCTGTTGCTCGAGAGTTTGCTGAAGCTCAGATTGAGGCTATGTCGGCCAGTCTCGTGTGAAGCATGGCTGGAGGAGCAGCCGCCGCTCATGGAGCTGCTGCTCGTGGTGCTGGTGCCGCTGGAGAGCGAGCTCTCCGAGATTAGCGAGTTGGGACGTCGCATGCTGCCCTTGCCAGGCTCAGCGTGGCGCAGCTTGGGTGCTGTAAAGGAATTGGTTAAGCGCTGCATCTCCAGCTTAGCCAGCGACTTACTCTTGTTTAGTTGTGTTAGTGGTATGGAACGATCGCTGATCTGATTGTTGCTGGGACGTATGTCCAGGCAGGGCTTGCTGCCAATGCCCATGGAGGACATCTCCGCTAGGCGAATGTCTGCGAAGACATAGTTAAGATATCAGGAGCTCAGCGCGCTGCTAGTTCAGCTCACTCACCTCGATTTCGTTTCGCCTGCTTCCAGAGCAGCTTGGATATCTCTTCGGTCCAGGCGTTCTTAATGTCCTCCGACATGCACTGCAGCATCCAAGTGTCGTCCGGCTTGCGTTTCCTGAACCAAATCTCAAACTTGGTCGTCGAGTCGCCCGTGTGCGCTGTCAGCCCAATGTCCGAGGTCTTGATGCTGTTCTTGTATATGTAAATGTCCAAGTTCTGCGAGTGGAGAGTGAGCTTCAGGTATGTCCTGGACTGTAGCGGATCAAACCTACCTTGTGGTCGGGGAAACGTCGTGCCTTGCTGAACAGCACCAGCTCCTCGAAGAGGAACACCTGTCGCAGCGTCTTCTTGCCGCCGCGCCCCTGCCACACGAGGAACTCGTTCTGTCGCAGCAGTCGTCCCTGCTCCTTCACATTAACATCGCAGTCCCGCAGCGAGTCCATGGCCAGCAGGTCGTTGCCGTGTCGCAGTTGAAACTTGACCATCTCCTCGGCACGCTGCAGCTCCTCCACATCGGCGGCAATCTCTTGCAGTGCTGCGCCCTCCACACTCTTGACCGCCTTGACCAGCTGCTGCAGCAGCAGCGCATACTTGCCCATGCGCTGGACGGGCTTCAGCAAGTAGGAGGCCAGGTCCATCTTGTCCTGCAGCTGCAGCTGCTTGGGCTTGAAGAAGGAGCTGCCATATTCGCTCAGCAGCGTGTCGCTCTTGGGCTTATTCTTGTTGTACAGCGCATACAAATAGAACTTGGATTCCATTTCCAGGAAGGCGGCGCCCACCTTGAGCGGATTGCGCTCATAGCGCTCCAGTTCGCCAAGGAAGTGCGAATTGTGAAACTCGAAGATCTTCTCAATGTTGCCAAAGATCACGTTCCGCTGACCTCGCAAAGGCTGCGGAATGTCCTCTCGCAACAGCTCATCGATATAGTTCTCGATTACGTAGTACAAGGAGCGCACATAGTCGCGTTCGGTACCAATCATTTCGCGCATGATCAATAGAAGCGTTCTGTACAGGTGGGAGATGGCGGGGCAGGTGAGCAGATCTGATGGAGGAATAGGGGGTTCACTTACTTTTGTATTTTTGGTTCCAAACAGCTGAGCTCCTCTAGTGTGGTCAGCTCCAGATTGGAGGCATGGCACTGTAGGTGGGCATTGGCCTCCATGGGCGAATGCATGTCTATGTAGCGCTTTGTCGACCGGTCGAAGCACTCGTCCTCGAGTAGCTCGTCGTGACTGCAAAGGAATTGCGGCTTCAACTCTGATCTTGGCTCGGCTGCAACACCTCACTCACCTCTTCTCGTTTAGACTCTGACAGCTGCAAATCCTCGCCAGCTTCGGATTGCGTTCGCAATTGTCGCAGACTCCTACGCCGGAGTCGGCTATCTTGGACTGTTGCTCCTCGCCATCGGCATCGCCTAGTCCTAGGCATTCGCGTTCTTGTTCCTCCTCCGGCTCATCCATGTCCTCCAGATTGCGACTCTCGCGCCAGCAGCTGCACTGACTGCCGCCGGCGGCGCCCTCGAAGGAGCTGCCATTGCCGGAGCTGCAGCGGTAGCTGCCACGCTTTGTGGCAGCCTGAGCAGGCGTGCTGCTGGCAGCTGGCAACGTGTTGCTTCTGCGCACAGCCAGCAACTGCTTGTCCAGCAGCGCTGTGGCATTCAGCTCAGCAGCTAGACGCTGCAGCTCCTCCAGGGCACTCGTCTCGCGCTGATGCTGCGTCAGCAGATGCAGCAGTCGAGCGCCGCCTTCGATGCGCTCGCGCGTCTTCTCCAGCTTCTCGGCGAACTGGTCCAGCGCCGTCTTCAGATTGTGTGCGCTCTCGCTGAGCACCGAAATCTTATTGGCTGCCAAGTGCAGATCGCGACCCTTGGCCAAGTGTTTCTGATCAGATCACATAGATTAGATCCAATTGTTGATCTACTATCACGGTGTGTGACTTACTCTGGCTATGAAATAGTATTTCTCGAACTCCAACTCTTGCGCCTTCAGCTGCGCCTCGCTCTCCAGCTGCAGCTGTGCGAATCTTTGCAAGTTTTCAGCGCCGTCATTGCCCAGCCAAGAGGTGACCTACAAAACGGCAGACAGAGGGCAAAATGAGTTTGAGTTAAGTGTGGAACCTTCAGAGACGCGCCCACGCCTATGTCAAGGCTGCTCTCGCCCTCGCCTGACGATCGCCAGCGATGAAAAGTGAAACTCATCGACGATCTAATTAGGCTCCACTTTACAAATTAAAAACCAATCGCGCACAAATCAAATCAAATCAAATGATTCCTCGCTGGGGTATTTCAGCGCTCCCAAAGGTATTGAAAGCAGCAGCAGCAGCAACAGCAGCAACAACGGCAACAACATTGACAACAACCACGAGCCAATCAACGATCTCACATTGATAATTTTGTAGCTCTAACCAATTTTTAATCACCTGCTGCGTCCAATTGAATTGATACAATCGATGATGATGATGATGATGATGATGCGACGGGGCAACAGAAACGCGGACTAAGACCCAACCTTAACTAACTAACCAGCTTACAGCTATTCAGCTAGTCAGGTCCCCTTGCTGCTCGGCTATTCAGCTATTCAGCGAGTCAGCTGGCGACGCGTGTGCCACGCCACATTCACTTTCCGTTTTTGGTTTTTGTATTTGTCGATCTTTGGCTTGCAGATAATGCCCCTCGGCATCAGTCACTTTTTTGGGGCATGTCCATGTCCTGCCCAATGAATGAAACTGTCTGCCTGCGTCTATGGGGGCAGTGTCAAAGCTGAGCCTCAGCATCAGCTTCTGCTCCAGTTTCAATCAAACTGAATCGGACTCGGACTCTTCATGCTCTCATCAGATATGGCCGGCATGACCAAACAGACAAGCGTGCATATATGTATATAGAGGCATGTACGATCAGCAATACAGGGTGTTGCAATAGCTCCGAAATCATTTAGCAGTTAAGTGCTTCTTGAGCTTGATGGCAAGTTCTGTTTGGCTGACGAAATGAAAAGCGCTTCTCAATTTTTTTTAAGTGCAAAAGCCTTTGGCAATCGATTGGAAAAAGTTGTACATTATTGATAAACATAAATTCTATTCGAAACACTTAATGCCTTTCGAAATTTGTAAGTTTTTAAATGCTTTGTAGCTGCAGCTATCGAGACATATCATTTTCTTTAAGTGTAAAAGCTTTTTACAAGTGATCACAGATGATAGCAAAGTTTTTAGTATTATTAAAATGCATAAATTCCAACGAATCTGGATGAACTCTTTAATTATGACTCAAAATGAAGCAAAATATTTTGAAATTATGAATATACGCATTATTCTAAGAGAACTGCATCAGATATTGAAACTTTATCGCATATGCATTAAAAATATGACAATGGAATTTTAAGTATTATTGAAAAACATAAATTTGATGAGGCTGCTGATAATTTTGACAACTAAAATATTTATCTGCCAGCAATTATTGCTTTATTATTATTTTTTATAACTAGTAACTAGTCACATTCATTATAAAACTTTCAAAATTGAGTGACAATTTCTAAAAGTAAAAAGTTTATTCGATTTATTTATTAAATTTGATTTCAATTAGATTTTAAGCTCTTCACAAAATTTTTAAAAATATTTTCAAAAATAAATATTTGTCTTTTTAGATATTTTTTTAAAGTAAGATTCATTACACTTAGTGAACATAACTAACCTCTTTAAGAACGTGCTTTAAAAACATGGCGCAAAGTCATTTAAAAACTAAAAAATATTTTTGAAAATTGAAATTTAAACACTTTTTGCACAGATTTCAACACTTTTGTCATTATTTTTGAACAGTTTTATAGTTTGGTTTAAGCACACCCTGTTTTTAGTTGTTGTTGCTGCTGTTGTTGTGTGCAGCCGGCTCAGTTGCTTGCATTGTTTACATGACGGGGCGCAAGGCCTTTTTTAGTTTTATTGGCTGATGGCATTTGAGAGATTGCCACACACACACACATACAGAGAGTCAATAAGAGAGTCAATATAATAAATAAATTAATTGATTTTGATTTAGTAAATCGCTGCTTCAATGAAATTTTTAATGCCAGCGCCGATGCGATAAGACGCGCCTGCAGCAGCCACCGATCGAACCTTGCGAATGACTCGCAAGTGAAATCAAATGCAGGCAGCATCATAAAAAGGCCAAAACAAAAACAAGAAAACTTCAACAAGTTTCAGTTGGCTGCACGTTGAGCTGGCTGATGAGCTTGATGAGGCTGTTGAGGCTGTGTGGAAGTGTAAGTTGCTGATGACTCACATAGTTGGCTATTTGGGCTGCCAAATGGCTGGCAGCTGTTTCACGCTCGCTGCCAGCTGATGCTGATGCTGCGGCTGCGGCAGCAGTTGGGCTTGGTGTGCCGGGGGAGGAGCTGCTGGTGCCGATCATAATGCGTACAGAGCTCAAAATGCGATAACAATTAACGTTGCCCGCTAAGCGCGACAACAGCAACAACAACATGCCACCAACAGCTCTGAATTGCGACTGGAATTGGAAGTGAAACAATGAGTTGGAATTGGAATTGGAATTGGAATTGGCATTGCCAGTGGAATTGGAATTGGAACTAGCAATGACAGCGCTGCTCGCCGCCAACGTCGGCATCGCTCAATGAAATTCAATCAAATCAAAACAATTAGTCTGTGCAAATATATAATAATCATGCAGAGGGCACTTGCGCTTGGCTGGCTCTGGAAATGTCGCTGGAATTGGAAGCCCAGAGCTGCTGCTGTTGCTGCCAACCAGCAACAGGCACAGGCACAGGCCAGGCCAGGCACAGCAAACATCATTATCATGTTGCTGCCTATCAGAGCTGGCTCAACTTGGCTATTTTTCAGCCGAAAAACTAGCTTTATTTATAGTTAACTTAAAATATTGGCTATATATAAATGAAATTATATTTTTTTTGTTTCTTTTAGCAATTTTAACTAAAGTTTAGGGAAAATTAATGCATTCTGAAACTGAATAAAATTTATTTACATTTTATTTTATATATTTTGTGTTGATTGTTTATTTATTATTTTATTTATTTTCATTTTGCAGTGTTAAAATGAAGTTTAATTGATTTTATTTTAGTAAAGTCTCAAATTAAAATATGAATTTGACTTTAAATTTAGCTAGAAATAATATATATACGAAGAGTTTCAAATAATAATGGAATCAGAAACGGTTTTACGAACTCTGCTTGAAATTGGCACAGCCAAACACACAAATATTATATTTACATATACACATATATATATTTATATATATATATATATTCATAGTATATAGTGTTTACTCTATTCACAATACAATTTCTATAGGCATAGTTAATTTCATAAATATTATTAATCATTTTTCACACTTAGTAAGCAAACAAATTAAATCTGCTTAAGCCCACGCAACAACTAAAGCTTAGCTATTTTATAGCCACATTTTGTAGCTACTCTACAGGCTGTCAGCACAATTGCTTTGTGTGCTCGTTGATTATGCTGTCGCCGTTGAATGTTGCCCTGCTGCAATTTGCTTAGCTAAGTCAATATGTGAGCTGCAGTCACATCTCCCACAGCAGCAGCAGCAGCAGCAGCTGCAGGGCTTCTCGCTGCAAGACAGTCGCGCAGTGATAAGCTTTCGATTCGAGGCTCTATTACTCTATTATTCTATTTGCCAGCCGGTGGCAACTGTCGTTGGTCTACAGCGGATGTTGTCTTTTGTCAGCTTTGCTGATAACTCGCCCAGTTGACTGCACTCTATATCGCAGCTCGGCGTATGATGCGGCACATCATAGAGAAGCTGCTGCTTTAGAGGCGTGTGTTGCTGTTGCTGTTGCTGTGGCTGTGGCTGTGGCTGTTGCCGTTGGGTGTTTGCTGACATAAAACGCAAATTTAACGTGACAGTTTAACAAGTTGATCGCATGCGCCATAAAACACATGCAACACCTACAACAACAGCAACATCTATGTTGCGCATGCGTGGCAACTGTTGCTGCTGCTGCTGCTGCTGCGACGGCGGCAACTGTTGCTGCTGTCGTGTAATTTACGCAAATGTCGCGTATTTATCTCGCAGCCATAAACATTTTTAAGCCACAATATCGAATTTATTTTGACACTTTACAAAGTTGTCGCCATTGTCGAAGCTGTTGTTGCTGTTGCTGTTGTCGAAGCTGTTGCTGTTGCTGTTGCTATCTTAGAAAATTGCGACAGCTATTGGGATTTTCGGTCTGTGTCGGCTTTAGGAGTTCTGTTTCTATTTCTGGTCTTGGGTAATTTATTTGAAGTGCGTCTTAAATGATATGCGTTTGCCATTTGCCATTCGCCATTCGCCATTCGCTATTCAGACTGTCTCATTTCCAACTCGAGCCTAACTAATTTGTGGCTCTTCATGGTCTAGGCATATCTCTCTCTCCTTCCCCCTCTCTCACTCTCTCTCTCTCTCTGTCTCTGCTCTTTGGTCTCTTAAGATGTTCTTATTTTAATAGCCATGTCGTGTAATTTGTGCGCAAATTTATGGCAGTTACTCAGAAATTATAGCGCCGATAACTAGCTCCAGATCGCCAAAGTGAGTATGCCATAAAGCACCGAGAGGGGTCCAGAGTGCAGCTGGGGTAGATGTGCAGATACTCTAGAACAGCTAAGTGACATGTGTACGAGTGTCTGCTCCAAATGAGACATCAAACATGAATGTGGCCTGTGAATGGCAACACTTAAAGTGCACTGAAGCCTTAAATACAAAAAGCTGTGGACCAAATCAAATTGAACACTTAGATATACCCTGTAAACTGTGAGTGAGTGAAGAGGGTGGTGGTCTTGCAGCCTTGTCGATCGAAAAAAACATATTAATAGAGAGGTATTTCAATATGTCTGGACATATGAAAACAGATATACTTAAGTCCTAGGTAAAACTTTTGCTCTTAAATCTTTCTTAGATTATTCATAGATTTGTTTATCTCAAAGAAACCCAAACTAAGGAAAGTCTTAGCCCAAACCATACAAACATAGAAAAAAATACTTTCGCACCTTCATAACTCTTCTAAAACGTAACCTATTTCCATGCTTAATGGATTTGCATTTCAGTTAAGTT